TGTGTTCGGTGTAAAGAGAACATGCAGATCGCGGTTTTGCAAGCCAGACTGCGTGTTGGGCTGACCTCTAACAGCCTCCAGCTACGGTCCCAGAGTATGCGGCTTGACGTCAAGCAAAAGTTTGCCGATAAGTACGAGAACTTCGTGGCGCGACCAATCTTGGAAGCGAGGAACAAGTTAAGATCTATGCACAACCGCACGACGCAGCAGATGTTCCGATGCAAAGCGCGGATTACGGGTAACGTTAAAGAGAATCTTGATGCAGTTTCCCTCAAAGCGAAAGAATATGAAGATCATCTTGAAGATAAATTCCCAAATATCGTTGGAAGATCGTCGAAGCCGGTGGAGGTAATAGAATTGTAGTCATTTTATTTCGGGTGATTTCATTTAATAGTAATCAAGGCTTCTTCATATTGAAATGTTATAAAGTCATGGTTATAAAAAAAATAGATTTCTAGTTTATTCGTATCGAAATTGATCTAGAAATGAAAGATCTAAAAGTTGCAAGTGAAATAAATATATTTAATTATTTTTCTATTATTCTGCACACGTCGTTGCGTAGAATTTGTATAGTTTAGCAAAATTCATTTCCTTAATAAAATAAAACAGTTCAATTCTTATTATTTCATGTTTTGATTAACGCTAAAATTCAGTCTATCAGGAAGTATAAGGCGAAATATTTCTTCACTAACAACGGCACGTTGGTTTAATTTTTTGATCGTTGACAATGACTTGCTTGGTTCGGGCAACCCACAGAGCGCTACTGGCCAGCAACCCTCCACGAAGTGCCAGATGGTGAAGGTGGTGGAAAACTGACGTGATGTGAAGGCTAACAGATGGTGGAGCTGAAGCTGTTCGTCGCCTGTTCTTCCTACAATTCTACAACCATGTATAACCTTGAAAAATGAAGACATGCACAACAGCACGTTTGGAAAAGAATCTTGGAACGATTTTACACTCGATCGTAATCGTCGAATGATTTGCTGAGAGAAAAGTCTTCTCATCCTCTTTACAAGGAAATAATTCGCTTTTATGTGATTACCGCTGATCTTGTGCTCACCGAACAGAGCAGTGTTATTTATTTCATTTGGCTATTGCTGAACTAGTCTGTAAGCTGAAGTGTTTTGGTGTCGTCAGAAATCTTTTCTGTTAAGCTTATAGTAATTAAATGGAACTGTTAATTTGATGTGGAAAGAAGCGAGATATTATAACAAGTGAATCGGTGAATAACCGCTGAATACAATTAATTATATATCAATATCAAAATGTTTTGATATTGACATTCACCATCGAATTATCTATTGTAGTTTATAGGATACAGTGGTTGTTCAACAGTCATACGAATGCTAGCATTTCCTTACCTGTCAGAAACGTGTTATATTTTGCGGAGTTTCATTGAACGAAAGTTTGTCTCCCGTTGCCTACATTTCTTCGACTTCGGGATCCGGGAACATGCGATGCAGTATACGAACTGTGTAGCCAATTCGCCTCGCTGGATGGAAAACAATGCCACGTGACTGTTGATTTCCTGGAGACGCTCGCAAATGAGGCGAGTTTAGTGCTGATGGGTGCCGCTGCAGTCGCTAAACAGCTGCTAATGACGAACCTAATTTGCTCGGGCAACACAATGCTGTGGCTAATCTACAACTGCATAAAGTGACCTTTCTTCGTGCCTTTCTACCCTTCCTTATCCGACCTGAGCTGGTGTGTTTCTCCTCAGATTGTTGATCTTTCATCATCAGGTGACGAGTGTGCGTTTCGTTTATTATTTGTTGTGTTGCTTCAAATAGCTTGTCAAGTATTTTATTATGACGTAAATTTGACGTTGTCAGGAGCGATTTGATTCATAACCTCAATAAAATCTCCAACATTTTTGAGAGTCTAGTTTCTCTTCACAGCGTCGCTTGATTATTCGTTTAACTTTATATTTTCAATACAAATTGACCTATTCTTCTACTTTGCATCTATCCATGCCTGACATTAGAATCCTTTAAGATTGACATTTTTCTATTTTAGACTTCAATTTTGAATTATTTTTTCACAGTATAAACCATGATCCCTTTTACGGCTGAGTAACCAAGCTCTTTGCTATTTCTAAGGCTTCGTTGGCTGTGGATCTGAAGGATGTTTTGGCCTAAATTCTTGCCTAGCTGTTTTGTCGTCACGCGTCACCTTGTCGCCCACAATTGTCTTTTTATCGCGGCAATCGTCGACACGCCGGCAATTCATTGCCTCCGTGGCTGTCCTTCCCATGTGTTCGTTAACAGCCTCTCGTTTGCATGTCGTAGCGTTCCTGCGAGTTGTTACTAGATCGCCTGTAAAGTCGAAAGATAATAGAAAAACGAAGTCGGCAGTGTGACCTCCGATTTATTTAATCTCATTTTGTCTTTTTCCGCATCTTCCTCGTAAGTTAATTACTGTGTGTTTATTAATCTGTACAAGATAGCCTATAATAATACTAGTATAAATATAGAATATTATAAATTTATTGAATAACATTGTCAGAGCTTGTAAACAAATGAGGAGTCGTGATGAAGGTGAAGCATACCTCTTCATTGGTAGGATGTTCGATATTCTACAAATTAGCATAGTTGTGAAGGCGCTCGTTTGCCCACTTTTATTAGTTGTGGCAAAATCCGTGTTTCGAAATTGTATGATTCAAGGGAATTTTTATAACTTTTAATTTTTCGTACAAATGTTAGAATTTTTCTGTCGTTTCTTCACCCCGTTTATCAAGTGAAGAATGAGGTGGGCTAACTCAATAAGTACCAGACAGTAAATTTCTACTTATCACATCGATAGCTCAGACGCAGAAGTATAGCCAGTGTTATGTTAAAGAGCGCTTTCGCGTGAAAGTGATGCATTTTTCAATGATAGAAGGACAATTGTTTGTCGATAAAATTATATTTTATTTTAAATAAGTATGTTTATTAGTATTCTAAATGTTGACTTTTAAATGTCTTGACGGTTGATATTTTTAATCGTCGCGAGACTCTGTCGTGAACATGGAAGCAGAAACGAGCAGGAAGTCGCTGCTTAACGAGAGGCCGTTTTGCGCCGCGACAAACCTGCAAAAAATATCCTGCTGTTAAATCGTACCCTCTTTAACTACAGGATATCGTTATACAGAGGAACTTTCTGTCGAGTTTCGTTTCAAAAATTTTTTCTCGCAGTTCATGTCCTTCTATTTGCATATGTTAGATAGCGAGACAAGTGGCACTGATAAAATAAAAATTTGTCACGCATTTCATTGAGATTTGCTCAAAAGAGATTTTTTTCATACATTATTTCACTTCAAACGAATAATTATAAATAAACCCACTGGAAGAGGATATCACATATCAGAATTTAACTCTCAACTAACTAGTATAACTATACTACATAAACTATACATTCTACAAAACCATACATCAAAGAAAAGACGATAATACCTTGTCGTACCACGGCAAGAATTTACTCTATTTCTTTTAAATATTCTGAAATTATAAAAGGCCGATGAAAATGTGACGATCTTTTTGCATTTATTTATTTCTTGAATTTATTTATTTGCACCTTTTGCAGCATTCTCTAAAACCCTCTTTCGTTTGTGCGTCTGAAGTTGTTTTTGGCAAATATTTTGATAACCTTGGAAAAAAAGCTTCAAACTTCTGGATTTTAAACCTTATATTTTATTTTGACATCTTTAACGTTTAGTTTATTTTTCCGCTGCAAAACCTGGATGTGAGTGAGCGCCATTCTTTTGAGCTGATTTTCCATTCAGAACTGGACGTGCGTGGATGAGTTTATCATTTGGGCCTTTATTTTAAATGTGCTGCTTGATTCTTTTGCACGTTTGCGCGTTTGCTTCCTTGTTTTGTCAAGCGAATTGTATTGTGTTTAGGCACTTTGAACATTAGGATCTAAAAATTATCATATTGGTTTCGCACTTTCGCTGCCTTCTTTGTCGCGTGTTTACTATTGTTATTTTTTTGCGATTTTCAGTTCATATATAAAAGCATTACCTATGCTATTTACAAGCAAGTAGCAACCATATATTTTCGACGTCATTAACGAGCTTCACAATTATTTACTGTTATCCACTCCCAGTTCATAATCAAACAAATTGATTTGGTCGATAGCTCCGACCAAGCTGAATTTTGATTTCGATATCAAAGCCATTTATTTCCGAGTTGTTTCACCTGACCAACCCCGAGTCGTGCAGTAATTCACAATTCCTCTGGCACTTCTGTCTAGCATCCCTGTTAAGAATCCCCTCCATGCCTGCTAATAATTTGTTGATGCAAGAGTGGGTGGAAACATTCGACTGCCAAATGATCAGGTCCGTCTTTCTGATCACAGCTTTAGCTGTGCTTGGTCTGCCTGAAGAAATTCTGGGGCGAGAAAATGACGGTGTTTTGCTTGAGTTTACCGCTGCAGGCACGAGTTATTCCTGGGCTTGCAACGTGGGTTTTTAAGAGAACTCGTTCCTAATGGTTATATTATTGCACGAGTATTGTTCTGAATAATCCTGCATTTCTACTCTCTCTCTCTCTCCAGTACTTAATCTATGTCGTGAAGATGTCTCTAGCATGCTAGTAGTGATGGAACTACTAGCGTTCTGATACAAAATGCGTAGTGACTTCCACCGTTCTTTGCGCAATCTAACATTTTGGACTTTTACCGTTTCCTTTGTTATGACCGTTTGAAATTTTTGACATTAGTTTTCTCTGTGTCCCTTCACATTAAAAGCTAGAATTGAATTATTGTATTATTAAAATAAATGAATCAAATGTATTAATAAAAGAATAATATTCATCGATTTCAGTTCCTTTGAATTAACACCAAAATAACTGAATAAGCACATAACATATATAGTGATGTTTTGAATGATACTCATTTAAAATATCCCATTCGACATCTATAACTTAAATATGTACAAGTGTAGTTATGTTGATTTTAAAAGAGTAATCCCTGAAAATGAATCTTCCTTGTGAAGTTTTTCTATTCGTTTTCTTTTTCAGGGGGTGACTGCTCGCTCTTCTTCACCAGACCCAGCACCCGTTGTTCCTCACCTCCCTGCTGACGCTTCACTGCAGGAAGATGCAGCCAACCTCAGGTACGCTGATATAATTGACTGGCATAATTTCTTCTCTGAATTCCAGCATTTGCACTTACAAGTGTTGTCGGGATACAGCATGACGATTTGAATTTCAGTAAATCGTAATTTTTGATTTATATCAATACTTATTACGTTTATTTATATTATAATTAAATTACTCTACTTGAAATTCTAGTGACGCTGTTGCAGCAATGACTGACATAAACACTCCTCTAACATTCACGATATTCGATAGTAATTTTCTTCACAATATCAAGATTTGATAGTCTAAGGCTTACCTGATAACGCGCAGAAAGCCGTTGTCATGTCTAATCTAGGCATTGATTTATTTTGCCAGTGCATTACTACCTCGGCTCGCACACCACTAGTGCATTCGGTGTGAGGTCTGCTGTTTACTCAATGCTGTAAAGTTTCAACTTTTGGATTATACTTTCAGTGAAATTTCGGTATGTGGTTTTCTAACTCGGTTGCAGACACTGCGTATATATAACATAATCGAGGCGTACGTGTAGGAAAATTGTGGTCTTGAAAATTTCAATTTCATTAAAGAATTTCAAGTTTATTTGATATAAGCTTCCTAACCTTTTACTTCGCTGGAGTGAAGGTCGTTTGGTTTCGTTGGCTTTTAAACGCGCCTACTAGATGAATTGGAAGCGTACTGATGAAGAGAGGATGATCTTCGACAGTTTCTGTTCTTCGAATCACTCTGCGTTGCTAAAGTAAGAAGTCTTACAACGAATTGCTCGCTTGTGTAGATTGATTTTACCTTCCGTGGCTGACGAAAGCATTTGGCAAAAGTTTTTTAACACGAGTTTTCACTTTAAAGCGTAACGTCTGGGCTAGAGCGTGCAGCCAATTTGTGCACATGTTTCACAACGTAAAAACCTACTACACACGTTGCTGGACAGAGTATACAATATTACCCATCTGCATGAAATCCCCTGGAAACACAAAATTACATCCTAAAATGACAATTTAGAATTTTTTCCAATAAATCAAATTTTAAATCGGAAAATCAATAATGAAGTAAAGCGTTTAAAATGCTAATCGGATTAAAGGGTATTTGTGTGACTTGCGATATGCGGCCGTCATGCAATCGATAAACTGTTAAACCGTAGCATTTTCCCCAACACAGAGATACTGTAATATATATCATGTGGCTCATTTCTATAGAATAAATATCATAGTATCTTTCGCTTTCGATGAGGATAAGTAAAGAAGCGGCCATGGTTAGTCGAACAACTCTAGTTCAACATACTGGCATTTTATTTGATCAATATGTTTAGCTTTTACGCAACATTATACATTTGAACGTTTAACGACTTGCCAACGAATTTTAAGTTTTTAACTAGTTTATTTTGTGGCATTAATAATCAGTACTGTTCGTGCTAAATTATAATTCTTTATTATAAAAAACACCTCGCAGTTCGACTAATTTTAAACTTGGTCACCACATATTCAGTTCTTCAATTTTATAATTGCTTGCAGTCACACGCCAGCACTCTGACAGTTGGAACTGAAGCGAGGGAACCAAGAAGATTAAGCAATGGGTTCAATGATTTATTTGTTGTAAAAAGCCTGGAGCTCGTCTTAATCATACGTGCATGACAGGCGTTGCGGTGACGCATGTCACGGCGAGCCTTCGAATTCGCCATTTCAGTCTAGACTAAATTTTCGTTCACGCATCTTAATTTTGTCGGTAAATGGTCTACTTCGAAATTTTAATAAGTCGATACTGGTTTTTTTATTTGCCAACGGCATGTTCATTGTTTGAATGATTTATGAAGACTTGCGCAATAAAACGTTAACCGCTGCTAAATTTCTTCCTGTGAGCGACTTTTTTACAGACGTCGACAGGTTCAAGAGTCAGACGAATTCCTTTGTTCAGTGCGAGAAACCCTCTGCTTCTTCTGATTGGTTTGCCACTTCATCCTCGACAAAATTGAAGCCTGTGAAATCGCTACCATTGTCGCTATAGATGAGAGTGCGTTGACACTATATCACGAAAGTTCTAATGATCATATTTCTTCGTTCCATTGCAAAATTTGCATTACGTATAAGAATGAGTTAATCAACCATGATTGAGAGATGTTTATCATGTGAATATAAAGTTTCTTTAATAATATTCTGCATGTTATAGTAACGAATGTATAAACAAGTATTTCAAATTTAGAACTGCTACTATGAGTAGTATTTATTAATACATAAGTATTTCAAATTTAGAATTGCTTAGACGATATTTATACATTTAGACGATATTTATACATACGTTAGTGGGAACACGATTTTCAAAAGATTTTTCTCCTAAGATTGTTTGAATAAATATTTCCATGGGTAAGGGTTTATATCCACATAAGCTGTTTATTTGTTCTATGAATTGAAATTTCTCAACTCCATTACGACTATGAGTGTCTGACTGATTCCATGCCTTAGTTAATTTATAATTCATCTTAGAGTTCATTGCCAACTGTGGTTGAGCTTGAAGAGATTTCATTGAAGAAACACACTCCATCTCATAGTTCAACACACATGAGCATGATTCATCTTGAAGCTGCCTTTCATACTACAGCTGTGTTTTCTTTCCGACCACAATGCAAGCGTGACCAAGCTATCGTGTTTGCTAGTCAATTACGTCATTGAGACTCGATTGGAGAGCAGGAAGTTTCGTATGTATAGCATCGGTGCTTGCGTAATGCAGAAATTCAATTAATCTTGAAAGCATTAAACTTGTTAGTCGATGTATGTCCGTCCATACGAATACATTTTCTGAGTAAGCCATCGCGTAGTCAGACGATTCTCAGAACTGAATCGTAAAGCTTCGCTGTGTTGAATGTTTTCGCTGCATTGCAAAGCAAGCAATGCCTTTTTTCCTTGTTGAACGTCCAATCCACCCTCGCTTTTCACAAAACGCTTGTACACAAGGTAAAAATTTCTTTCAAAAGGCTATTTTCTTTGCGAACGTGTCATACTTCGATATGCTAGGAATCTCCAAACCTGTTATAATAATGTCTTCGTTAGTTATGTGTGCAACGTTACTGACGTGGTAGGCGGTGGCATGCATTGACAAGCAGCGCTTCAGTGTTCGCTCCGATAAAATGATAGCGACAGAATTTGTTGTCCAGTGTCGGCACATAGCACGCACTGCATCAAATCGGGCTTCGCAGAACCTGCGATAACAACTTCACACCGTATCTAATGTGGCTGATTTTTGCTGATAAGAACCAGTCATGTTTGTTGATGTACACGTTTTACCTGAAATAACTTGGACTGCAATGCGTCGGTTGAAAATAATCAATGCTGGTAAAATAATCTTGCTTTTTTGCTTGCTTCTTAGTTAACCATTGAAGTTACAGCATCGCTATAAAGTCTTGTTGAAAAGTCGATTTTTTAGCATTTTGGCTCAGAAAGCAGATAGAACTAATCATATTTTTGTACTGAAAGAGTTAAAAGTTAATGCCGACTTTCACAGTTCTCATTAATATTTCAAAATTAAAGATGTTGAAAATATGAACCTAAATTTTGTATATATCTGACGTGACTCTCTTGACCGAAATTGACGAGTCGCGTGTGCATTCCTATCGCAGTCGACCTTCAGATTCGTATTTGTCCTGTTCCACTGAAAAGTCCTGAGAAAATTTCGAGTTCACAAAGGCAGCCGAGTTGTCTTGTCTCCACGGGACGGTGACTCGACAGTTCGCGGCTTCCGTGGCCACCTCGGCGGTGACTGAGGACGAGCGTTGTGCCTGCCTTGTTCAACCGTGTAAAGGGGGAACTAAAAAATTCTGCTCTCGTAAATGTATAAGGATTCTTTTAAATTTACAGGTAAATTGTGCCTGCACAATCGAACTCTTGTTCAATTTTTAGGACATGAACGTATATTTAACATATGACCAAGATATTGATAGCAATCAATGAAGTTATCTTTTTCTTATTTTCTATCGTAAAATCCGTTACAATTTTAACATTTGTAAGGTTACGTATGAGGTCACGTAACATGAGCGTTTGATGACTAAGCTGCTACTGTTGAATTAAAATTATAACCGATTTTTTCCCCGTGTTATAATGTAACTGTTGGTTGATATAATTTGGTCAGAAAGAAGTTTGGACCTTATCTAATGGAGGTTAGGTGGTTCCGTTGTCTCAAAGTTGTTAATCCTGCTCTTTTATTTGAACTGCTAAGTTGTGCGATTGTCAAACTTTCTTCAGTTTGCGTGCAGCCTTACATCGCTCGAACGTCAAGGGTTTACTAATGAAATGTGCTTAAATGAGAGGACGACAGTTTGGATTGAATTGAATTCGAGCTAAAAAATATTTAATTAAACTTGTATAACTAAAAATGAATAGAAATTAAACTTACCAGTCACTGGCTTGAAATAATCGACATGCGGTAATGATTGGATGTGTGATAATCAATGATTATCGTGGAACCCAAGATCATCCATCGTACATTCTTTTGAGAATGCAGCCCCGACGCGAGCGCTGGCTAATCACCAAGCGATGGCGATAGCAGCAGTCAGTGTTGCGTGAGCAATCACTGCGATGAGGGCGACGTGCGATCAGTCTTCTGTTTCAGTGTTAGCTGCGGGTCTCATTACTTGATGTTGATTGAGAGAGAATAATTTACTGCATCGAATGTAAAACAAGTTACCTAGAAACGTGCTCTATTATGAAAGTTTTTGCTTTGTGGTATTGTGTTGGAATCCAAGAAATTTAAAGATGTAATTTTAATAAGTCGATCCAGACTGTTTGATATCCATTATCTTAGATTTTTATCTTTGCGCTTAATTATCTTGTTTGGATAAAGAATCGTAATCTGGAAAAATTCTACTACATACTTGCTTTTCTCAAAATTTTATTCTGTAGACCGTTTCGTTTTCGGTTGCCCGCTAAAATAGTTCCAAATGAAAAATTCGCTCAAACATCTTAATTACTGCAGCGTCTATCGCGACTACGAACCCGCCTTCTCTGTCAGGTGCGTTTGGAAATATTTTTCCCTC